ATTTTAAAAGCCAAAAAATCCCTTTGATTTGAGTTCTCCAAGTTGTCTCTTTGCCACGCACTTGTCAACTAATTCATAACGTGGAATACGTTTAACATCACCATAACCAACAACGGAAGGATGCTTCAACAGCATACGTTCTGCTATTCTTTTGATATCCTTATTTGTTATCCGATCTGATGACTATTATTACGGATATGTGAATAAGTATACCTACTATATAACATGATCTTACTTTTTCACTTCTTCAGTCTTGCTTTTTGGCTAATTGAAGCTACAATTATATTGATGAATGTAATCCGTATTTCAAATGAATTTTTATAGTTAGAAAATACAAACGGTAATTACCGATTCTTTCAACATATTCACTCGGTTTTCGTCGGTAACCGTGCCTCAAAACTTGTCGAGCTAAATCTTCAAACATAACAGGTCGTACCTCTAAGTTCATCATCAACTAGCTCTTCAACTGGGTCTCAATTCTTCCTTTTCTGCTCCCTCAGGCAGCTGAAAATTAAGAACTTTTTTAGAAGCGTTAAGAATTCAGCTTAACATCACTTCAACTTTCAACACTATTTTAAAGCCATTATTGTTGGGATTATTTTTTATCTAATTTAAATTCTATTAGTTCAATTTCTCATTACATAAATAGGCACAGCAACTAATTTCTTGCGTTAATAGAGGTCTTGTCGAGTTGCTCAGCTCGTTAATCTTTTCTCATCCTCGGTCCTAGGATTTCTCAGTACATCTCGTAACATATTTCTAGATCATCCCTACTTTACAGACGGGGTAATCCGCATTGCTTAAATTCGTCTCTCTAATTAGTCTCTGTTTAAGTTTTTCTTATTTATCAGACGAAGTTTGACTTTCTTGGCTCATTTGGTATACATTTGTCACGCGCAGGTATATTCATGTGGTGAACAGTTACGCCACGTATTGCAAATATCAACCCTTCTTCCAGTTTTCAGGAGTGTTAATTAATCATTGCACACATTTTACTACTCCATTCCAGAATTCCGCCCAATTTGTATCGTAAACGTACTTCTTTCGTTTCTTGTTGGCCGCTTATAGAATTCAGGTAAGAGAAGCATTGGTGTTTCTGTGTGCTGAATTTTGAGTTTTTTTGAAAAATTTTGAATTCAACAAATGAAGTATGTCAGTTCTCGTTATTTATAAATCTTTGCCGAGTTCAAAATCTAAAAAAAATGTTCGTCTTTGATAGCGATTCAGATATGGGATGTTTCTATTACAATTTCATTGATGAACATTTAAATTGAATTTTTGCTGTATAAACTTTATGCGCCTTGTTTTCACGTTTCATTTACATATCTTCGTTTTGTGTATATATTTGAAATGTGTATTCTTTTATTAAATGATAACTGCAGATTGTAATGGCTGAAGTACGTCTGAACGCTATCCCGAGAATAGCGGGAACGAATATGCGGTCACGTTATCCAGAAATATCAGTGGGTTGTGCAGCGATGGATGCACTGATGGGAGGTGGCTTACCACTTTCCTCACTTTATATCGTCGATGAAAATAAGAGTCGAGTCTATGCAACTGTCCTTAGCAAATATTTCAGCGCTGAAGGTTGGCTAAATTAAATTTCTATAGCATGTAAATGCATGTGATAATTGAGAAGACAATTCAATAAACACCAGTACCGTTCGAACACGTAATGTGCTACCAAGATTACTTCTGATAATATGAGTTAGCATTACTGTGCTTCAATTTCTGACTTTCAGTTTAATCTTGATTAAATTCTCAACAATTTGAAAGTTTTAAAAGAGTTTAAGAAGGCAGTTTATTTAGGTATATATTGCGAGCACTCATTATTTGTTGCTAGCACAAGCCGCAATCCACATGAATTACTGGAAGATCTGCCGGATCGAATAAATGTTGCGGGTGATGATGCTTTAAGGGATGATGTAGAGAGGCTCGAAGATTCAACAATGAAAATTGCATGGCGTTATTCAACTGTACCGAAAATGAATTCATCACTATCTTGTTATCGACATGGAATTTCACAGTATGATTTAACGAAAAGGATGGATCGCAAGAAAATGGAGGCATGCAGCATTTCCTATTTTCCTGACTACGCCAGACCACAGGACGATTTATTTAGTTATAGTGATCTTTATAAACAGATACGGCAGAAACTTATAGAAGATGAATATTCGCCTACTTCTTTGAAGTCGAAGAAAAGTGTCCTGCGTATAATCATAGAAGGTGGGTAAATCTTTTGCGCGCAGCATTTTTTTGTTGTACTTTTGAATTCCAATGGCGAAAACTAAAATTTCTTAGGTGTTGGTGGTCCTTTCTGGCAAGATCCTGAAAATGATATAAAGTTCGTTGCTCATTTGCGTACAATATTATGCTCTTACTATGCTGTCACGATGTTAATTATTAACTCGAATGGTATACCGAATGAGCGAAAGGTTTGCTGGTTTATTTTGACTTGAAAAATGAATAAAATTTAAATACGAATATCAGCTCAGCGAGAGAACTGGGAAGGTTTGGTTATTTTCTATGTGTACAGTTGAATTATTTATTGTTAAAAAATTTGTTACTGATATTCCTATTTGAGTTACTTTCCGCTAATATTTTCTTTTGAAGCTAGAAGCCATTTGAAATAATATCAATTTTTCCATGATTTGCGTGGCTGCACATAAAAATCCGCGAACCCTAACTTATATTTAAGGAAAGACTGTATGCATACGGTGATTTAGTGGTTCACTTGGATGCTGTAGAATGTAACAATACTGTGGAGAAGTTTGGCGATCGTTTTGATGGTTATTTTCGTTTATTGAAGCTTCCAACCATGGCATCCATGGCAACATATTGTCCAGCGAGTAGTGATCTCATTTTTCAACTACAGAAACGAAAATTTGATATCAGAATCTTGCACTTGCCGCCAGTATCTGGTGATAATGATAAAAAGGGAAATTTTGGCCCAGACTGTCAGGAAATTTTAAAATCTTTTTAATAGTCCGGTGACAAACTATTAATAGTTGGTTGCTATCCACATATATGGTACAGTAACAGTGAATGCAGATCTGTGATTTCCACGTATGTAAAATGCGCAGTTGATTTTGTTTTACGTTGTTGTTTTCTTTTCTCATATACATATATATATAAAGATTTCATGTATTGACAGTAATACCGATATTGACTGACCTGTTCACGAATTTGTTTATTTTTTTGTTTTCCAATAAACGAAACTCAGTAAAACGTATTTTCTAAAGGGACAGAAGTTGGTTTATTCGACGGTAGGCAAACAAAAATTTGAAGAAAGCCCAAAAATAGTTGAAATGCTATGAATTTCGGATTTCCGTGTTCGATGTGGTTGATAAAACAACAGCGTTTCGTGTGCGTTTGGGGTCGACTCCTTGGTCGGTCAGGTTCAGCGTTTCAAAATCATATGAGAAGGTTCGCTTTCTATTATTTGACTTCCTAGGCTCTCGTGTGAAAATTATCAACTTCAAGTGGTGTGGAATTTTTCAACTAGGGGATGAAATATAATTTTTGTTAAACTATTCGGAGTTTGCTGTTTTTTTCTGCCGTATGTGCATGATTTCTCTACTTATTTAGGCGTTACGCCTGTGATGCTCCGAGTGAAATGCCAAATGTGCAACGTCGGGAACGTTACTTATTACCTATGAAATTCGATTTCCGTGTCTGGTTCCCCATGCATATGTCTGTACAATTGAAACGAATGATTGGTAAACTGAGAACCGTGGATCTTATTATCGAAGTAAATAAGCATTTTAGTCATCGAGTCGCTGTTTAGATGCGCAGATACAGCTCACAAAGAAGTCACATTGTAATGTCGACAAATATTTTAGGTAGCCCATGTCCTACACCACGATATCAGATCTCGATATTCCTTTTTTGAGTTTTTAGGTGCACGATGCTAGAGTGCCAATCACTGGACGCAACCCTCAGTTTTATTCGTCTTTATATGCCGTAAGACCACATATTCTTGTAATGAATAAAATGGACCTCATCAGTAAGGACTTAAGGTTTGTCATGAATGTTCATGAACGTTCATATAAAGGTATTTCGCACCTTCTCAATGTTGCTAGAACTACTGTGCCGTGACTTAGTGTAGCACAAGTTGTCTTGCTACTACTTCTATATGAATTAAGGTATAATCTATTAAAATAGGTTCAAATTTTGGTAGTAAAATCATCTCATCCATTTCTTTGAACAATGATGAAGGTACGATTTAAGAAAACCAATCGAAGATTATTATCGTGATAACGGCATAACGAATTTAGTATGGACAAATTGCAAAAAACGTCTCAGGAAACCACTCACAGACTTACAAAATACGATGTTGCGATGCCTTCGTGAAGAACCACGTTTCAACCGAACTGTGAAAACGGAATATCAGGTTTATGCTTCCCTTATGTTCCTCTTTATTAAAAATCATTACTGAACCACCAAAAGATGTATTGCTGAATAAGTGATTTTACGGCTGATATCAAAAATTTCCTTCAAGTTAATGATTAGCCATGTCCGGTATCCAACCGCGCCTCCATTAGAGTATATATTAAAGAGTACTAGTGTTCGTGTCAAGTGTTGTTCGAGATTCGACATATACTTCGAGTTTACAAAATTCCTACTCGACTAAATACATTGAAATTCCTTTCTTTGATATATGCAGATTTTCTGTGTTATAGGTTATGGTAATAGGCATCCCTAATGTTGGAAAATCATCACTGATCAATTCACTACGACTAACAAATCTTGGAAACAAGCAAAAGGCTGTAGAGGAAGGTAAATTTTTGAAAAATAAAGCATAAGTGTTTCGAGGAATAGAAATCGTTTTTCAGAATAATCCGTTGGCATGGGATGCAGATGTTCAAACATATTACGAAGCCGTTTTTTAGGGCTCACACTTTTAGGACTAAGTGATTTAGAAAACGATATTTCACGAGAACCAAATATGTCCCATAGTATCTCAAAATGGTCTGCTAGCATCAATAAGTCTAATTATTCTGCCCAATTCATTCAGCAATTAGATTAGCTTGATTAACTGCCTAACTACTGAAATATATGGGTTGAAAGAAAATGTGAACCAGTTAAATTTCAGGTAGCAGACCAGGAGTAACAGTACGTGTTCAAAATCGTGTGCGAATTCACGATCAGCCGCCAATATACATACTCGACACACCGGGGATACTAAATCCGTTGGCACGGGATGCAGATGGTGCAATGAAACTGGCGCTGTGCAATCTTATTTTAGAAAGTGCTACGCAAGTTCACTACGTTGCCGACTACCTGCTATACTGGTTAAACAAGTAAATTTAAATCCTTTTGTTTTTCAGCAGTCATATTTTATTTAGGACTTCTAGAGCCTGCATAGCACAATTCCATCCATACTAGGGATAAACTGAAAAATGTCATTAACCAGTCAATTCTACAGAAAATTGCAGGACGTGTGACCATTCTTATGTTAAATTTTTTAACCTGCATAATGGACCGTCAGATGATATACAGAAAGTGTTATTGGATATATGTCAATCCAATGATATTCGCTTTAAATGCTATATTGCTGGACAACGAGCTGAACGATGGGACATCGATACGGCAGCCAAATTGTTTATCGATATGTTCCGGAATAATAAACTACGTGACCACTGCTTAGATATTGATTTTCTATCGGATTACATGAATAAAAATGAGTAAGTATTGTAGAATTACAAGGATTCGAGGAAAATTCGGTATTTCAAATCTTGTTTCTTCCCTACCTCAAATAGGAAGACACTTCTATAATTGTCAGGAAGGTCTCAGCAGTGAATGTACTTTTCTTCTTCAAGAAATGATTTAAAAGGGATCCCCAAGCTTTGGCATATGATTTCTATCTTCCTTCTTTTGTCTCTCTCACTTGAAAAAAGACCAGAAGGTCTCCAATTCCTCACTTCACTTCCACTTTTAAATTGAACTACGATACGGCCTTATAAGAAGTAGAGGCCTTGAAAAGCCTAAACTGCACAAAATAATTTTGATTGTTTCACATTATATACTTCATTTCTACTGATTATTGATTAAACAAAAAGCAAATACTCAGTGACAATGATTATCATTCGATATTACATGTTCACTTCTGTATCGCACCTAAAAAAACGAAGATTGGCAATTGTGTGACAAGGACGCACGTTTACCAATAATATTGGAATAAAAGTATGACTCATTTCCACGATAATCGTAATTATTTCTGAATATTTTTTTAGATGGTAAAACTCAAAATTCATCAGCAACGCGTTAAAATCCAACATTGAATGATACCCTCATTACTACCGACGCTTCGATTAGAACACCAAAGTACTGAATGACATCATTTCAATGAATGATTAATGCTTTGTGAACAACCTCTTAGAAACAAGTCTCACCGGCATCTTTCAACATTTTTTCTAGACGTCCATTCTTCTGTGCGGCTACTGTGTCATCACCACCTCCAATACATTTACCACCAATAAAAACACGTGGCACTGATCTAGCTCCTGTTATTTGTAGTAATATATCCTGCAAAACTGAATAATGAATATAAATGGCCAATCTCCGCACGGTCAATTCTTCAACTAATAACTTTTGCACAACCCGTTCAGACAAATATATATTCGAAATGAGATTGATTGTCAACAATATAACATAAACACAGCACAACAGCACTTACTATATAAGCTATCAGACGAAACACTCCTGACACATCTTAGAGTGAAAAAGCTCACTTGGATTTTGTCGCAATCGTCTCTTTTATCCAATTCAATGATTTTGTACAAATCATCCCGCATTCGAAATGTACTTAGTGCTCGTTTCGCATTCCTTAGTAATAAAAATGTGAGTACTGTTTGTAAAATAAATAAACATCTTCCCGCTATTCAACACACCACTTTTCTACTGGAAACAAAACTGTACACAAACACCACAAAATTAGCATCCAGGCCAAAAATCTACATTAACAGCCAACAAACTGTTCCGGTTATTAATTAAACTGTCAGTAGTTCCAAATATCTATTCTTTGTTATTATCAGCATCTCTTCGATTTGCTTAAATTAACGAACAAATCTGTTCATGTTTCGATATTATTCAACAGTTGGAATATCTCATAGAATATACTCAAAATGGAGGAGATGCTGATAATAGCAAGGAATAGATGTTTGGAACTACTGACAGTTTAATTAATAAACAGAACAGTTAGAATATCTCACTGGATCTTTTAATCACAACTGGAATTTGCTGTAAAAATGATTTCAAGCAATCAAAACATACATGCAATATGGACAATAAGTTTTGCTGAAAACAACAACCGGAGTCGAACTTATTAAACCGGTAACAAACGTGTATAAATCATTCGGTATTCCTGATAACGTCTGAAATCGCTTATAAATCAATATGGAAGCCCGAACAATTGATTTAGTATTATATTATTTGCGGTATGAATTCATTTTTAAAAATCAAAATATTTTCAATAAAAGAAACTAATTATAATTTGCTGGAAGCGTTTACTTTTTCCATAATGCCTTGCAGTCTCTCCTGCTTCTTTACTTCCAAATGTTTATGTGCCTCGACTACTCTGTTGTCCAGTTCCCGTTGAGCTTGTTCACGAGCTATTCGTATACGATCTCCGTATGCTTCCTGTAGTTCAGTGTCTGAAACATTTCTTAAAAAATGAAACTTTTCAATTCAATATGCTCTTATAAGCGAAGAATTGCGAACCTAAATACAACTTATGTTTCTCCAATAAAATAATTCGTTGTTTTGCAAAAGATAACCACTTTAAAAGATAGAAATTATGAAGAATGATTACTGAAAACGTATGACTTAAAGGAAAATTTCGGGTGACACTAAACTTTGAAAAATAAAAGCTGACTGTGTGGTTGAAAAAAGTGATGCGTCTTTATCTTGTCTCCTATTGATAATAGACACCGCTATGATAATGATATTAAAAGGCTAAAAGAGTCGATATGATTTTGTCCTTAAAAGCTCTAGCAGACAATCTATGATGTTCTATCGAAAACTGTTTCATTGTTTTTCGTTTTTATTTGAAAACTGCAAATTTCATGAAACAAATGTAGCTTGCTCATTGAATAAAATGCATGTAACACACCGAATTTTTTCCTCCTTTCTAACTCCTTTCTCCGTTGGATATCTTGAATCAACGGTGAAATAAATCTTTTATATACGAACTGAAACACTATAAGAGCTCCCACTATCCACCAACCGTACTCCACGAAAATATCTGTAAACTGATAAATCAAAAATCTTTGACAACCCGATCAAGATCACAATGATTTACACTTGGCAATGTAATTTCTTAAACAAGAGATATATACAGTTTTATCTTAAAAGCAGTCTATCAGGAGATGAAAGAGAGAATAAAAATAATTGTAATAAATTAAAATTAACTCTTAGTCATCAGATGCAACCCTAGTCACAGGATACACAAGAAGAATAGTTACTAAGCATAAGCTGATATAGCATTTCAATTTAAACAAAAAATCAAGCATTGATCAAATTAGAATTCACTATCAAAGTAAGAACTTGTGCTTCCACACTGCTGAACACGATTGGAATTTCAGTTCCGAAAATAATCAATCATTCCGAGTTATGAATTATAAAAAATTGTGAAGAAATTAATTAGCAGCATATCCGTGTCCTACTCTAGTGGTAGTTAAAAAACAAGGCCCAACTTCAATTTTTCCTTAAAACGAATGGTTAGGAAAGATAAAAAAAATCTTAATATATATCCCAATTCTTCATAATACATAACCACCCATTAACCTAGAGAAACGGAATTCCAGATCAAACTAAAATCAAATAATTATGCTGAATATTTCATGCAGTTAATATGAGACAAGAAATTCTGGAATGGAAGAGTGATTTCTGGTCTAATTAAAAGCAGCTACACACACTACTCTCTCTCAACATGCACAACGACCAATTTAATTACCGTTGAAATGAATCATTCATAAACTGTAGGGCGGTTTTTGCCTTAATTTCAAGTTTTATTGTTTTTTAAATAAGTTAAATCTTAAATAGATGAATGAACTTTAAAAAATTACAAAAACTTCGAAAGTCAAAAATGTTTTTCATTTTTTTTCCTCCAGACCGATGTAAAAAAAACAGGTTAGTAAAGAAATCTTCAACGGAAAGTCAAAACAAAAAAATTACAACCGATTACCAGCGTGCACTCTCTATTAAAAATTGATGAATGTTGATTTCGTCTTCATAAAAATCTTACTTACAATCGAATTGAACGGCGACATTAAGAAATGCAGATTCTATGACAATTGCGAAACCGAAAGTTTCTCCGACGTCTCCGTAAGTGCAGTTCGCTAAAAGAGAAACTGCTTTACTTCAACCCATTTCACTGTATTTCGTACAGCTGCCTCATACCGGTCTAAAAACCAACCGCACTAACTTATAAAGGAACAGAGGCATTTTTTTTTTTAATAAAGCTCACTTTTTATTGAGTTACTGGAAGAGTATCGATATTGATATAAAACTTGTTCAGTACGTTCGTTCTTGCTACGGTCTTAGCTATAGTACAAAAAAAAACAAAGCAATCGTAATAAATTGGGCAACCGTATTAATCCTGAAAATTACAGATTCTCGTTGGAAAGAATTAAGCGAGCATCGGAGAGTAGCAGCAGTAATTTCATTCCATTCGTTCCGATTTTTAACTTCTTCCATAAGCACACTTTTATTTCCCTATCCAACCATGCTCTTTGTCGATATGTTTACCTTGTGGAATAAAATATGAGCAATATGCCAACAAGCAAAACGAACGACAATGCACTCTTATTTTAAAAACCATTTTATTTCCATTTATTATTATAAGGATATTGTCTCTCATCCTTTTTCCTTCCAATCTAACTTAAAATATTTTATCAAATTTTGTATCGAAGGCAATAATCGAAGTAACGACGGTTTTAAAACAATAACCACAAAACAACTTTTATAAATTACGAAAGAAAAAGAAAATGAGTAAAAATGAGCAAAAAAAATGAGGATGTTGATGTAATCGGACATAAAAGTAGTTATTAAATAAGTTTTTCAAAAGATGGATTAAATTATTTGAATAAACAAAATTTAGAACAAAACAAATCAGAATTTCACGATAACATTCCATTTCTACCATTTATTGATTACTAAAAAAAGGAAAACGATGAATAAGAGAGATAAAGGATAATAATCACAAATGCTCAACAACAATAATTATCAGTCGATGATCTCGCATGCATTGTATGTTCACTTCTGTATCACACCAAAAAAAGAAGATTGGCAATAACTATAATGCAGTTTACTGATAATATCGAAATAAAAGCACAATTGGTCATTTCGGTAACTGTTTTATTTTCATGACAGTCTCCAATATTGAATGATATCCGCCATCAGCAACTGACACTAAGCAGAATATCATCCGCTGCTTCGAGTAAATCACCGAAGTACCGGATGACAACCTCAATAAATACCCAGTGCTTTATGAACCTCTACTAGAAGTAAATTGCACCGGCTTTTTAAACTCTTTCTTCAAACATCTCTCCCTCCCTACATCTACATCTCTCCCATATATTTGCCAGAAATAATACGTGACCCTCTGATCTAGTATCGCCAGTAATGCACTCTACAAAAAAGATTAATAAAAAATATAAGTGGCTGCATAATCATAATCATTTCTGCTAACAATTTTTACACGAATCGTCCATACATACATACAAAGTAAAGTGAATTGTCAGCAATACAATATAAATATACACAAAAGCGCAAGAAATCTGCTAAATACATATGAGTGAGACTGGTAAAGCTCATTTGAATTTTATTGTAATCCTTCAACCAATTCAATGATTTTATACAAATTATCGCGCATGTGAAACGTATTTAGTGCTCGCTTCGTGTTCCTGAATAGTCAAAATGAGAAAATACTATGTGTATTTTTGATAAAAATAAGAATAAAATAAGATTGAAAAACGTTATGAAAATTTAAATATGAAATTTAAATATGATATGTCGATTCTTGCTTGTCTTTTTATTATACACGGTAGCTGCTGGAAATATGTAATCTTTTGGTGCAATATGAAATTTATCACAGTGTCTATATTGCAAGTGAGCTCGCATGGTTGGAAAGGAAAAATGAATCATATCTACACAATAAACAATACACGTAGATGCATGATGTGCAAATGATTCAGAATACGCTGCCACCCCTACCATAATTTCGCATTTAAATGAAACGAATCAGGCGGTACCAGTGCCATTCACAGAATTAATCAGCTAGTTAACTCCCAGGAATTAAATGTAGAGCAATTATACGCAGTGATGGTACAACACTACGCCGTATTATGCAATACTTTAAAACACGTACGCTCATTTAATCTTCGACAATGATTCAAAACACTGATTTCCGATAATCTCGATAATTTTCAGAAATTTCAGATTAATGGACTGACCGATATATTCACAATAATGTCGCCGCATTGCATGCTCTTATGGGCGCCATCACTTGAAGGCGAAGCAGGACGGATAAATGAGAAAAATAAATCGGGTTGTGTTTCAGTAAGGTAGGCAGGAATTTCAGAGAGATCTTTGGGAAGAGATGCTTCACCATTTGAATAACGTAAAATCTAAAGAAAAATGTGACGCAAAAAAAAACTGAAACAATTCATAAATTTTTGAATCGGAAATTAGTCGCATAGCAGCAAATAAATATCAAAGCAACAGCACTAATTGTTGACAGACAAACTAACAATTTAGCAGAAACTGTCAGCTAACAGTTACTACCAACCATTCTCACTTCCCACAAATAACTTCCCCGGTACAAACTAACATACCATGACTTCATCATTATTTTCATGGATTGTTGAGAGATCCTGCTTACGACGAGATTGTGATATGGGGCGTCCACTCCCTGATGCTACTTTTGCGCTGTCGCTAGTTACCTGTCTCTTAGCATTTTTTGATGAGGTACACGCTATTTCATCTTCATCTGCAATAAAACTAGTAAGTATTTTAGCTTCTTTGACACTTTTTATTTCTGCCATAATTGATAAAAACTCCCACATATTTAAATTTACGATATACACAATACACCATATATATTCAATGTCAGCAGTTGAAGATGACTGACCGACGTTGGATAACGAATCATCTCCATATTTCATTCTTCGTGCTCGTGGAGCATACTGTAAACGGCATGTTTTCTTGCTCTGAAATTTGAAGTTAGAACCAAAATATCAATAACTTGATGAATCATGTTGATGGCAAAAATTATTACTATTACATTACTGGCCACATTTTTCCGATGATGAAAGCATCACCATTATATCTCTGCCATTTTCAGCATCAGTTGAGGACATTCCAGTTGACGATAAGGGAAATGACGATCGTATTGCACTATTGCCATTGCTACTAGTCGCAATATTACTAAAATAAACAAATGCAATTTTTTACGAATTTTTTAATATTACCGAAGCGTAAGAGAAAAGAAAAAACAAATTACAATGTGTGAGAACTAACTATGTGCTTTCATGTGGTGCAGGAGTTGATGAGTTTGATGTTTCTTCGCTGCTTGCCTCCGACTGAATACCAGGAATGGTACTACAAAATTCAACAGATGTTGAGCGTTGACTATCTGCATTTTTAGTACATTTTGATTCAGTCCTCGATGGCGGTCGACTTTGTCCGGTTCTCGATGATGGTCGACTTTGCCCTTTTGGTTGCGCATATTCCAAATCCACATCATCATCATCACGACGAGCGCGTTTATTCCTAAATTTAATGAAGTTATGAAAAATAAAAACTGATTTCTTTGAAACACGAATATTTACTTGCTAGCATCAAATTGAAATGTGTCAATGCTAACAACCATTTTATCTCAGCAATTCATAAAACATGCTTGTAATAATACAGTAAAGAATAATGCTTAATGATGATAATACTTGCTTAAAACCAGTAACATAATTTTCATTAATCCAGTTTGGTTTACGACGCTGACGTGAAGGACGCTGTTTACGACCATCTTCAGCCTAAAAAGAAAAAAATTAGAATTCCACATACCCAAACTGCATTCATATTTAGCAAATATATCATCGGCCAAACAATACTACCCATGCACTTACTTCGTCACTATTTCCACTCAGCTCATCCTTCTCAATATCATTCTTCGATGTCTGTTCAGCTTTTGGTTTCGGTTTGCGCCCCCTACCACGTTTTTTCGGTGGTTCAACCTCGTGTTTTGTCTCTTCATCACTCTCGTGCGAAGCCTTAAACAATCAATACGATTCAATTTATCCCTTCTAACAACTATAATTTTTAAAAGCTCATCAATTGTCTCCCTTTTTAAATAAATACCTTGCTAGGACCAACCATTTGATCTACTGCTACATTTTCCACTATGCATTTACGCACTATGCGAAGGCATGTCGGCGGATCGTGCTTTTTCTTTTTTGAAAGTGACAGACTTAATTTTGCAAGCTGAAAAACGAATTTTCCGAAATATGCAATGCCTATAAGATAATGGAGAGTTAATAGACTACGAATATAACATTAAAACAAACCTGCTCAGTTTTTCCATGGCTAAGACGTGGATGTCCTTTCGGTCGTACTTGCGGTTTTGAAGAGCATTCATTCTAAATTTAGAATTATTTTTATCTTTGATATCTCGATTTAATTAAAATTTTTTGCACCACTTTCCAGATTCTCATTTATTTTCTTCTACTTATACAATGAAAATATTTTTTAAATGAAGACAGGAGTGCATGTTTAATTCATAAAATTGAAATCAATTGAACTGACATGCAAAATTTCTGTATTTAGTTCATATTTGCTGTCCTCTAATAGCGGAGCTTTTTCGATGTCACCACATACAATTGCAATAATGTAATCCATACGATCCTTCACCGACTGAAAGCTATAAGTGTATTACGGAAGATTTTGCAGTGCTTTTAACAAAATGATTATAGTATCAAAATGTACCAATTCAATATTTTCATTTTCCACATTTGCCATTAATTCCAGAACAGGAGCAGAATCATATCCAATCTCCTCCGATCCATCAGATGACTCTTCTGTCTCAAGAAAATCATCGGATAATGGACTCAAGCTTCGTCCTCGCATTTGTATAGTCTTAAACACAAAATTTTCGG